AGTAGATAAATTAATTGTGTTTGCGTGGCTTAACAAAAGTAAAGATGCAATTACTGGGAATGAACAAAAAGGTGGTGCTTTTCTGGCAAAGAATATTGCAATACTTAGAACTTTATGGAGGCAATGAAGAAGAGCGTTCACAATCTTCTATTAAAAGTAGTTGGACTGATATAAATGCAAAATACGAAAAATTTGTCGATTTTTATAGTCAAATTGAAAAACTGTGACAAAGTGGAAACACCGAGTAAAATAATGTAAGGATTAAAATTTTAATTTAGACACTACTATAATTTGATATTTGAACTATTAATTGAATAATTTCATATGTATTTCAAGTTGATGACGCAAAAGAAATATTTGCTAAGATTATTGGAAGACCATTTTCATACGAGTATTGTTGGAATATATTAAAAATGGAACGGAAATGGACTGATAATCTCACCAGTAATAAGAGAGCAAAAACTCATTGAACTGGTAGTCTTGCTAAATTAACTCATATTGAATTTTGTTATTTAACTCCATATTTAGGGGATGACACTGAATTCTCGTCTACTCCCAACCTCGATAGGTCATTGGGCAGAAAGGCTTCAAAGAAACAACTTAAAAACAAAGAGAATTAAACCGGTGTTGAAGCATCACTTGATCATCACCACTGGAATGACAGAATAGAAGTGGAATGACAAAAAGTTGAGCAACATGACAAAATTTGTGCTCAACAGGAGATAGTATTGGAGCAACATCGTAGACAGTTAAAAATTGAAGACAGGCAGGTGCAAGAAATTGAAAGACAGAATGAAATGAAAATTATGGAAACTGACACTATTGGCATGGACCCAATTTCTGCAACATATTGGAATAACCTGAAGATAGAGATTATGAAAAAGTGAGGTTTTAATTTTTAGTCATTATTTATTATGTTGCTATTATTTTTTAATTTGTAGTCATTATTTATTATGTTGCTATTATTTTTTAATTTTTAGTCATTATTTATTATGTTGCTATTTTTTATGAAAAACTATGTATTGAAAATACAATTTGAAATTGAAATTGGAATTGAAAGTACAACTTGAAATTAAAATTGAAAATACAACAAGGAATTGAAATTGAGAAAATTATTAATTGTCATGTTGTTCCCACAAATGCTCGATAAGATCTGATTGTAGTTGAGAATGAGTAACATTGTCTCTGATTTGACAATGTGTTTGCATGAAATCTTCCAATTCTACTGTATACGCATGCGACACTTCTACAGGCAGATTTGCATCATTTCCATCAAAATCATTATTATCAATATCTCCTTTATCCTCAATGACCATATTATGCATTATTATGCACGCTTTCATAATATCTGCATGTGTTTTTTCATCCCAAAAGCGTGTTGGTCCATGCACTATTGCAAATTGGGCTTGAAGTACCGCAAATGCTTGCTCTACATCTTTTCTTGCCTACTTTTCTGTTTTAGCAAAATATTTTTTCTTCAAACCTTGTGGACAAAAAATTGTTTTTACAAATGTCGACTAGTTTGGATAAATACCATCAGCTAAATAATATCTCATTGTATACTCATAGCTATTAATTATATAGTTGAGTAGAGAAGCATGACCATTTGCTAATAATGCAAAAACAGTGGATCTATCTATAACATTTATGTCATTCAGCGAACCAGGAAGCCCAAAGAATGCATGTCATATCCAAAGATCTTGAGAAGCCATAGTTTCTAAAATGATTGTTGGTTTATGACAATGACTAGTATACATACCTTGTCACGCGGTAGGATAATTTTTCAACTTCCAATGCATGAAATCAATACTCCCTAACATGTCGGGAAAGCCACGTTGTTCCCCTGTATGTAGCAATCGAGCAATATCGATATTGTTTGGTGATCTCAAGTAGTGGTCGCCAAACACTACAATAACCACTTTTACAAACCTTCTTAGATTCTGTATGACAATGTTTTCTCCAATTCTGATGTATTCATCTACAGAATCTGTCGGTGTTTTGTAAATAAGAATTCTATAAGTAGCTATTATCTTTTGAAGGGATGACAAACCGATAACTCCAATGACATCTGTTTGTTTGGATGAAGTATAGATCGAGTTGTTCAACTTCATTTACAATTCAGAGAAAAAGAGGATGACTCATTCGGAACCTCATTTGAAAAAAACCTTCATATACACAAGGGGTGGAAAAATAGTCACGATAGAGTCTTTCGTGACATTCAACTCTACCACGATTAACTATTTTGTGGCTTGGAACGGAACCACGATGCCTTCTTATCCATCCCTGACTAGACCCTTCTGACCTTCTAGTTGCAGCATATAACATATCCAAGTCATCATTATCTTCTTCTTCAATATTAAGGATCTCTCTTATAATATTAGGATAACGATTCATATAACTTGATGAATGAAAATATAAAAGGATAAATAGTCAAAGAGAAAGGAGATATTGAATTTATTGAGAGAATGTAAGATAAATAGATGAAAACATAAGAAAAATGATCATATTTATAGACGAATTATACATTTTTTTTAATTTTTATTTTGACTGTTAAATTTTCAAATTTGAATTTCAATGGTTGAAATTTGAAATTCTAATTTCGACGGACAAAATTTGACCGTCAAAATTTGAAAATTTAAATTTTTGCTATAAAAATATATCCGTTAAATTGCGATCGTTATGAAAATTATACTTGTTAAAATATAAACGTTAAATTTAATTATATTTTTTAATAAAAAAATATTAAAATGAGGTCCCGTTGCACTAGTGCAGGGAAAACACTGTTAAGAGTACCAAAACAATATTTAATGTTGTAAAATGACATTTGACGTACCATTTTTGGCAACGCACGTTGGAGTTGCTCTAACTCATCACGTCACCCCCTATGGCCTTTTAAATCTTCCACCGTTCTTCTCTCTCTTTCTCTGTTTGTCTCTCTATCTCTCTCTCCCCTGCCTCTTTAACTTCTCTGTTCATTGCTTTGTGCTCCCTCTCTTCACCCTCTCCATCTTCCTCTTGTCTCTCTTTAATTGTCCTTTAGCGGCGACTTAAGGGCTTCTCCATTGCTTTGTCAATTAAGAATTCAATTACAATTAAAATGCCCTTCTTTCCACTTAACCCTACTCTTTCTTTTAATCCTCTGTTTGTGGCTATACACATTCCAGTAATTATTTTACCAAATTGATTTAGTATAAAAGTGTCGTTTCATTCCTCAATTCTATAAACCATATTGATATGCTTCTCATGTAGCACATCGGACATAATATCTGCAAGAATTATAAGGGTGATTTTCAACACTTCTCTAGAGGTAAGTCTTTCAACATTTCATTAGGCACTTGGTGATACATATGTATGACTTTCACTTGATCATTTTTAAAAATCATATATCTTCAAACACTGATTTTAGCTTATTGTTATATTTGTTCACAGCCTTAGCTTTGAAATTGCATGAAACTGGAATCAAAGCTGTCATTAGGAGTGCAACTCGGGCGGGTTGTGCGAGTTGGACAGTCAACCCTAGCCTAACCCTAGGTATATAATCTTTAACCCTAACCCTAACTCTAATCCTACCTCGAATTGAGGAACTCAACTCGAGTACTACCTGAGTTTAATTCGGGCGTGCTCGAGTTGAATTCGGATTAATGATTTTGGGCTGATTTTAGGTTACTTTACGGGTTCAATTCGGTTTGAGTTCGAGTAAAGTCCAAAATAAGCTTGTTATTCTAAACATAATACACATATTATATAATATTCACATAAATTAACAATCAATAACTTCAACAAAGTTTTTAACATAAAAACCATAATCAGAACATAAAAATCATTGCCACCAGTCCATTGCGAGAGAGATAGAGAGGGGGGAATAATTATAAATTTATAAAACATAATACATATATATATATATATATATATATATATATATATATATATATTTATTTTACAACTGAGAGAATGAGAGAGGTAGAGAGAACGAGAGCGACAGAGAACGATAGAACAAAAATAAAAAATCAATGCTAATGTTTTATATATATATAATTTTTTTTAATTTGTTGGGTTCGGGTTAAACCCGTAAACTCGAGGCCTTAACTCGAGCCCAAGTCAAATTGAATTCGGGTTGAAGTTTTTAGACCTAAGTTCAACTCAAGTATTAAAAACCCTTATCCAAACCCTAATTTGTTTGGGTTGGGCTCGGGTTGAAATCGGGTTGCCCAACCCAAGTTGCATCCCTAGTTATCATAGTCCCATATTGATGGTGTTCCCTACCTTGGCAAGACAATCTAAAGTTGGAACCTATACTAATGGATCGAGAAACACAATTGCAATCCTTGAAAGAGCATTTCACAATGCGGTCAAATGATCCTGAAATTAGTTGCTTGTTACACTTTATTGGTAGTGCATGAATATGTCAACTAAACACTCATAGTAAAAGGTTAGTATTGAGATGTATTATCAAGAGGATGAAATAGAAGCATTTGTTTTTGATTAAAAAATAAAAAAATAAGATCCAAGGCTTTAGTATTCAACATGGCTCATGTGCAGCAACGCATGTGTGCATTAACTAGTACAATAATAGTATTATAAATTATCAACAAAAGTGAAAATATTTTAATTTGCTTGGAATTAATTCATTTTAACACACACAAAGAGAAAAAAAATTAAATAATTTTTAACTATCCTTCCCAGCACATTGAAACTGATAAATGTTATACCTGAGTAGGATGGCCTCAGGCTCAGCTTAGGGGCAGGGGACAGTTGATCCATCGGCCATTGTTAGGTATTTTATTGAGTAAAACAGGGGAGAATCTACCAATATTGCCCCCATTGGACTTTGGAGAATTACTCTCTGTATAGTGTTGAATCATCATGAACTCAACTCGAAGGTAGCTTGAGTGGTAATAAAAGTGATATGTAAATTTTGGCAACCTTTTAGGGCGTGGATAGTTTTTTATCGGACCAGGAAAAAACTTAGATGGCCCTCTCTCTCTCTCTCTCTCTCTCTCATGCAACGATGTTGCTTGCTGGTTTGGGTTTGTTGGTCTGAGGTGATAACATTGTTGCAAATTGGGGGTTTTGGTTCGGCGGAAGGAGGGTTTCGATTTCAGGTTCGAGGAGATTGGGAATGTGGGGGAGCGCAGCGAATTAGGGGTGGGGGTAAGGGTGGGGATGGGGTTGGTGCATTTCTTTTGGGGCCACGGGGAAGCTCTCTTCCTCGCTATAAATTCTCAGAAGTTCCTCCACAGAAGAAACAAACTTTAAGCGAAGACTTGTACAAAGAAGCAAAGTTCAGTCTTCCACCACTAGTCTTTTGCGTTATTGCAATATTTCTGCTAGAATTATGACACAAACTCAATCCATACTTGTCTATTTCATCCATAAATTCAGCTCAACCTGAACCAAATACAAGAGGCAAGTTATCTCTAAATTTTTCTAAGAGGCTTGTTTTCGGTTCGAGCTCAACTTGAAGAAGTCTGCGACCTCAGGTAGCCAAGCTTAAAAGAGTTGGCTTGATACCTTATTCCCAACCACAACCCGAATACCTGACCGAACCACCACCCATCTACCCCTAGTTGTTGATAGAAGACTGAAACAATTAACATCCCTACTTTGCAGTTACTTTTTCTTGTACTTAAATCAGTTGCTTCAAAATTCTCAAACATCAATGGTTTATGGTTGTAGGATAGAGTTATGTTTCAGATTCCACTACTACCGTGTAGCACAGGTCGAAGATAATGCCCCTTCAATCGTCAGGTTATGAAAGAAAGCCTCTGGTCGTTAATATATTAATTGATTAGGAGATATTATTTTATGATTTTTATAATTTGTGTTTCAATATGAGATTAAATGTTTGTTTCTCTCTAAATGAAGGTTTGTTTTTTGAAGAGGAAGTCTAATTGGTTTGGGAGGAATAGGAAAATAGGTATAAGCTTTCATGTGGTTAAGAAGCACGGATTTGAGACACAGACACACTGACATGAAATTATTCAAAAAAGTAGTAGACAAACACGTTGGAGACACGAACACATTTGTATTCCCTTCCAAATAATATGCACCTAAGCAACCTTTGGTTCTCTCTCAGAATAATCGCCTAAGTTTAACACCCATGGCTAAGTCTCTTATGTATTTCAGCATTCTCTGTCTTTTTCTTCTTCTCTTGTTCTTTAACTTAGGTACTTCTTCCCTACACCTTTGCCTTTTTGGTAAGTTAGTAATTTCTAAGATATTTTTTGCACTCAATTTTTTCAACTATTTGATTTTCTTCAAACTTTTTCATTTTTTTATACGGCCAAGAGCCATCCCAACCTTCCATTCTCTTGGTAAACTTGATACATGTAGAATCACTTGTAAATTATGTACATCAGGTCAAACACTCTTGTGAGTCTTGAACTTGTTATCTCGAGATATTAACACGGAAGTCCTCTTGCCCGAGCAATCTTGACATGTTGAATTTGTATCATGTATCGTATCACTGGAACTAGCTACATTCTTCTTGTGGTCAACCTTTGATAGCCAATTCCTTGGTTTTCTTCTAAATTCAACCTTTGTTGACCGAAACAACTTTAATTTAGATCTGAAATGGGCTATTTTAGCTTTTTTTTTTGAATGAACTTCATGTAGGTTGATCATGAATTTCTAATTTTTTTCATGAACTTCAATTCAATTTCTATTGAGGCTGGTTTAAAGTACACTATTCTTGAACAATCTCCTAATTTAATTCCTATTTTAGTTTCAAATTTTGGCCTACAATGCTATTGAGGAGTTACTGTGATTAATTCTCTGTGTTCTAGGTGAAGTTCTGAGAGGTGCAAATGGAAAAGCACTTGGGCAGGTAAATTTGTCACAAATTTTCCTATCATTTTACATCGAAAATTGAAGAAAAAATGTATCAGATTGTTCTTTGACATGTTTGAGAATTGTCAATGAATTTCAGGGTTCTTGGTGCATTCCGAAGCCTTTAACATCTGACCAAGCACTGATGAACAACATCAACTTCACCTGTGGGATTGTGAATTGAAACACAATCTAAGAGGTTGGCCCTTGCTTCAACCCTTCTACTCTTGTCGACCATGCCTCAATTGCCATGAATGTTTACTACCAGCAAGAGGGAAGATATTTTTGGAACTGTGACTTCACTAGTCTGGCCTTATTGTTGTGATTGATCCAAGTAAGCAATATTTTTGTGAATTAAACATAGAAGTATATATATATATATATATATATATATATATATATATATATATATATAGAGAGAGAGAGAGAGAGAGAGAGAGAGAGAGAGAGTCTTGACTCATTGATAAAATTGTTAAATTATAACGCGGGTGTCATATTGGTTCACATAAAAAGCCTCTCTGTATAGAGGGTAGAAACCGCTTATATCTGCCTATCTTTAGATCTCGCAATATTGGGGACCTCGTGTATATAGTTGTGCTTATATATATATGCATAAAATGACAAATTTTTAGGGGCTAATTTGCTAATTTTTAATTGTGCAGGCTATGGTGATTGCAAATATGAATATGCTTAGTAGATGGAAGAAACTGCTAGGATTTGCACTATATTTGATGTTTTTTCATGTTACATTGTTGTCTCGAGTTGTGAACTTTTTCTGGTAGATGTAGGTAGTTGCAGGTTACGAGAATTTAAATTTAAGTGGCCTTGAGGTATAGTCATCCATGGGGGAGCCCTCTATAGTGGTGTACAAAGTGGAGTAAATGCTTGATATCATTGATTGTGTTGTTGTTTGGAGCAATTTCTGAAACGGATGGTTCGAGTAATATATTATTCATTAAAGACAATGCCAGATTACACAAATCATCTTTTTCCTATGTCGCTTGTGTCATGTTGAATAATAAGACAAAAATAAAAAATAGAAGTTGATTTTCAAATAATAGTAACTGTATGCTATTCATAATTCAAATTCAAACAAACTTAAAAAGAGTGTCATCTGTGTCTCGGAGCTCTTCATTCTTATACTTACGAAACAGTTCATTGATAAATCACCCGTCAAGAAGTATCATTTTCACAAAATTACCTTTATCAAGGCTGTTGGTTTTTGCGTAACATTTTATTTCTTTCGCTTCCATCTCACTCAAGGTCTATTGGCACTCATATCATTTCTGTGTAAGTAGCATTTGCAGATACCGCATTTTATGCTCTTCCATATTTTGTGGCTTATCTTTATTGTTACCTTCCTTAGCTCGTTGGTGGTAGTGGCATGTGAATGCCTCGTCCAAAGGTGCCCATGCCTTAGTCAAATTGGGTTATATTTAGGCAAAATATACCCTTGTGCAAAGTTGGCAGAAGCTCTATGCATGACTGAGGGAGACAGTCCATGCATGGGCACGTTGGGCATGATTGGACATAATCAGTGGGCTAATTGAATACCCATGCATGGCTAAGTGAGGCAGCTCATGCATGGGCATATGGGCACAAGAAATCATGCAAACATGGTAGTCAGGTGGCTTGAATTGTGGGGCAATGTTAACTTGGAGGACTAAGCCTTTGGCTGGGTATAACTAGGCACAAATGCAAGATAATTAGATGTTGAGGGCTTATAAGAAGACACTTGCGCACATGTGAGGACGTTGTGGTATGTGCCCTATAGATGGTGGCATTTTTGTGCAGTTGCTGGCAGGTGCACAATATGAGGGAGTCTCTGTCGTGCACACAACATGCAGGGAAGTTTCAAGCAGTTGCTGACTGGGTCCGCTAATAGTTGCAACGGCCATTGCCATGACCAACACAATGGAGGGAATGACTAAAGGTGTCAACCATTCTCTGTAGGCTTGTAGGGGGATTTGAATTGTTATGCAGTTGCTTAGGCGGTTGGGCTTGTAACCGCCACTCTGAATTTTATAAATAGGCATGCCTGGGTTTGTAGTACAACCAAGAGAGTTGGACACGTTATTGTAAGCAGACTTAGGGCTGAGTTTCCTTATACTTTGTTGAGAAAGAAAGGTTTGGCTAATTGGCATGTAAAGCTTGTGTGTTGTGTGTGAGTTTGCTTGCATGTCCCTACTCTATTCGTGTGTGCATTTATGTGAGCGTTTTGAGTGAGATTGAGTGTGGATCTTAGTGCCATCACGAGATAGAAGTTTGAGTGAGAAATTTGACCCTGTGACAATTGGTATCAAAGCCAGGTTTGCGACTATGGCTGATGGAAACGTTGCTGAATTGCGAGAACGTGTGACCTGTCTCAAAGATTTTTTGGGCGCCCTTGAAAGTGATGCTGCAACCAGCGTTGCTGTGCAGATGGAGCAACACACTATTCAAATTGCTGGTTTATAGATGGCCTTTGATACCTATTTGGCCAACACCGATGCAAAGCTTACAACGATTATGAAGGACATTATGTCCCTCACTGACGTTGTCAAAACCAATTTGAAGGAAGTTGAAGATAAAATGTCTTTGGTGAAGAGGGCCATGAATTCTCGACCTGCTGTGGGCGAGAAGTCTTCAAAAATCAAAGTCCTAGAACTAAAGGCCTTTGGAGGCACTCGAAGCGCCAAGGATTTGAAAAATTGCTTATGGGACATGGAACAATACTTCAAAGTTGCCTATGTAATTGCTGGAGAGAAGGTGACCATTACCAGTATGTATCTTTCTGGTGACTCCAAGAGGACGATGCATTTGCTGGGCGTGCAAAGATTGAGACGTGGGAGACCCTGAAAAAGGAATTAAAGGATCAATTCCTCCCTAGTAATACGACTTGGATTGCTAGGGATTCGCTCATGAAATTAAAGCATACCAGAACTGTTCATGATTACGTGAAGGAGTTCAGTTCGGTGATTATGGACATCAAGAACATGTCAGAGGAGGACAAACTCTTTAATTTCATGTTCGAGCTGCAAGGCTGGGCACAACCCGAGTTGCGTAGGCATTGCTATAGACGGTCTTGTTGACTTCAAAATGGGCAGTAGTCAAGGCCCTTTTGAGAAGAAAAAGAAGGATGGTGGTGGCAGAAAAGATAAAGCTGGCATTTCCAGAGATGCAAAGAAGGCGGATTGGAAGAAAAAGATTAATGTTGTTGACTCTAAAAAGGCAGACAATAGCCAGAAGAAGAAAGTCTTTGATTCTGACTGTTTTCTCTATGGTGGCCCCATCGTTTCAAAGACTGTCCCAAGTGGGAGAAGTTGAGTGCCCTCGTTGCTGCAAGTAGGGATGATAATGATGATGATTGCCCCACCCGAGTTAACCCTTTACAGTTGCTGAACACAATTACTATGGGCAAAGTTTGACAACCCCCCAAAGGCATCATGTTTGTAAAGGTCTGGGTGAATGACAAGGAAGTTCTGGCCGTGGTAGATACAAGAGTCACCCATAATTTCATTGCCTAGAGAGAGGTGGGAAAATTTAGCCTAAAATTGTCAGAAAATGCTAGCAAGCTCAAGGCGGTGAACTCTGAAGCAATGCTAGTGCATGGCATAATAGAAATACGCCTAATAGTGGGTCTGTGGGAAGGCCATGTGAGCTTGATTGTTATGCCCTTGAACGACTTTGATGTCATTCTAGGGAATGAGTTATTTATCAAGGAAAAGGTGACATTGATGCCACATTTGAATGAGGTGCTGATTACGGATGAGAAAATACTATGCTTTGTGCCTGTAGTCATGACAGACCAAAGCAAGAAAGAAGGCAATCGGAAGATGGAGATGTCCGCTATACAAGTGAAAGTTGGGCTGAGGAAGGGCAAGATGACATAGCTTTGGTGGAGATCAAACCAGACGCACTGGTTGAAGTGCTTGATGTAATGGTAGAAGTCTTGGGGGAATTTGCTAATGTTATGCCTGCAGAACTCCCCAAAAGCTTGCCGCCAAGACGTGAAATCAACCACAAGATTGAGCTGGAGCTGGAGCCTGGTGCTAAGCCTCTAGCTTGTGCCTCTTATCAGATGTCGTCGATAGAACTGGCAGAATTAAAGAAACATTGAATGAGTTGCTAGATTTTGGCAATATGAAGCCATCCAAGGCGCCATAGGGAGCTCCTGTCCTGTTCTAAAAGAAGCAATATAGTTCGCTATGTATGTGCATTGAGTATTGGACCTTGAATAAGGTGACAATCAAGAACAAGTACCCTGTTATGAATGTTGCTGATCTGCTTGATAGGCTTTGCAAGGCAACCTTCTACACGAAGCTGGATCTAAGGACTTGGTATTGGCAAGTTAGGATTGCAGAGGGAGATGAGCCTAAGGCTGCGTGTGTGACGTGCTATGGGTCTTTTGAATTTCTTGTAATGCCGTTAGGGCTCACCAATGCTCTGACAACTTTCTATAATTTAATGAATGGTGTCTTTTATGAGTATATTGATATCTTTGTGGTTGTTTACTTGGATGATATTGTGATCTATAGTGAGACATTGGAGGATCATATAGATCATTTGAGAGCAGTGTTCTTACGGCTTAGAGAACACCAGCTGTATGTCAAGAAGGAGAAATGCGAATTTTGTCGCCAAGAAGTGATGTTCTTGGGACACTAGATTAGCAAAGGTTATATTTGAATGGATAAGAGGAAGGTGAAGGCAATTGTCGATTGGCCTGCACCAACCAAGGTGTCTGAACTATGGTCGTTCCTTGGCCTAGCCAATTATTATCTCAAGTTCATCAAAGAATATTCCAAGAAGTGTAATGTCTTGACTGACTTGCTAAAGAAAGACCAGAAGTGAGACTGGAATGGAGCCTATCAAACATTTTTTGAGAAGCTGAAGCATGCAGTATCTTTTGCACCTGTACTAAGACTGGTTGACTTCGATCTGTCATTCAAAGTGCACATAGATGCATTTGATCATGCCATTGGAGGAGTCCTTGTTCAGGAGGGACACCTTGTTGCCTTTGAAAATCGAAAACTGAAAGATGCTGAGCAACGATACTCAACACACGAGAAGGAAATAACTATTGTGGTACATTGCCTTGAAATTTGGAGGCATTATTTGCTGGGAACGAAGTTCACCGTCGTGACAGACAATGTG